GAGAGAAAGGGAGAGAGGGGGAACATGAGAAAGCAAACCGCCACATCTGGGACTCACACTCCAGTGGGCCATGTGGGCATGTCCAGCGCCTTAACCACACACCACCGACTAGTCCCCATGATCTGCTTATATCTTAATTGTGTATACCATAACAGCTTCTAATCCTTAAAATCTAAGTTTAACAGCTACAGTTTGAGTCGCGATTTCCCAGAGAGAAATATGGCATTTTCCCATGGTTACTTTGGAAATCAGAAAATTAAATAGCTAGAATAATAATAAAATAGGGGGGAAAAATAAAATAGAATAGTTTAAATAGGCGAGAATTCCAAAAACAAATGTTAATTAATATAGTTTTCAGGTAACGTTTTTTTTAAGGTTTTTGCCATAGAATGCATGCACTCGCCAGAAAGAAATGAGAGGGAAAGCAAGAAGTCACCCCTCGGGGGGATGGGCATGCTGCAATCCCCTCTTCTCCATTTTCTTCTTGGGATTTTTGGCATATGTGCACACACATGCCTGGCATGAGTTTCAAGCTGTCAGATCGAGGACTCGAAACACAGGTGGCCATGTGAGAGTCTTCCTCTTTAACCACCATGCTACCTGCTGGCCCCTTCAGGTAACTTCTGAAAATAACAGATTTTCAACCATTTGGTAGGACTATAATTAATATAAGTAATAGACTATAATGAAGATTGCACTGAAGAGTCAACTTTCTTTCTTTCTTTCTTTCTTTTTTTTTTTTTTTGGAGAGGTTTTTGTTATAAGGCACATGCACTTCCCAGACAGACAGAGAGAGACAGAGAGACAGAAAGCGAGAAATCACCCCCCAAGGGGGATGGCCACGCTGCAATCCCTTCTCCTCCATTCTCTTCTTGGGATCTTGGGCACACATGCACACGCGTCCGGCGTGAGTTTTAAGCCACCAGGTCCGAGACTCAAACCACAGTCGACCAAATGAGAGTCCAGTGACATAGCCATTACGCTAACTCCTGGTCCCAACTTTCTAAAGTTATTCAACGATTACCTGATATTCACAGAACTGCTCTAAATGTCCTGTATTGGTATCATCCTTCTCAACTGCAGGTTTTCAACAAAATTAAATGTGATATAAAAGCCGAAAACACATCACACCTAACTTGCTCTTCCATTACCTTGTCCATACCTCAACAAAATAACGATACTCTTTTTGTTTCTGTTTTCTGTTTGTTGTCCTGTGTTATCAAGGACAAATTCCCCATCAACCCAGTTCCATAACAATGTTCTTTCCTCATGGTCAATTGTCTTGCCTTGAAGAGATAGTACATTTAGGCTGTAACAGGCATTTCATGCATTTTACTAGCATCGTTACAGTTAGCTGTTCATCTGTGAGTTCCCCAGATAGATAAATATCCTGTGCAAACTTGATTACAACATGTAACTCATTAAATGCTTTAAATAGCATAAAGAATCCCTGACTTAAAAGGGGCTAAAATAAATAGTAACTATGCCTATGCATACTACTGAAATGCTGTATGTTAGAGTTTTCTTTTTAACGCATAAGCAGGGCAAATGAAATAACAGGACCTCTATATTTTGAGAGTACAATACAAGAAAACCCAACTGATACAGCCTTTCAAGTCAAAATATATAATAAAATAATGTCCAGTGCAGGGGCCAGCCGGTGGCTTGGTGGTTGAGGCTCTGGACTCCCACATGGCCTGCTGCAGTGTGAGTCCTGGACCTGGCAGCTTGCTTTCTCACTTACTTTCTCTCTCTGGTGAGCACACATGCCCTATAGCAAATCGAAATAATAATAATAAATAAAGTTAAATAAAAATAAGTATTTAAAAATGTCAAGTGCAAATGAAGCTATACAGTTTAAAATGTAGTACAGTCATAATAAATAAACATTAATTTGAGACCAGCAGATGGCACAATGATTACGTCACTGACTCCCACATCATCAACCACAGTTCGAGTCCCAGACCCGGCAGCTTACAACTCACACCGGGCACATGTGCCCAAGATCCCAAGAGGAGACAAGAAGAAAGGATCGCAACATGGCCATCCCCCCTGGAGAGTGATTTCTCACTTTCTGTCTCTCTGTCTCTCCAGGAAGCACACACACCCTATAGCAAAAATCTCTCTTAAAAAAATAAATATAAATAAGTAAATAAACATTAATTCATACAAGGTACACTATGATAAACTACCGCCATCAAACAAAGTCATCGCCCACTTCTCTGTGGCTTTCAGTTGTACCTTTCTCTTGGGAAGGTCTGCATTTTATATAGGACATGATAAAAGGAAAAAGAAAAAAAAAAGTCCAGTCCCAGCTGGACTTTCCGAGGAAAAAGACCAGGCCTGAGGCAAACCCAGAAGAGTCCATCTGACTCCAGGCTGCGCACATTGAGGACTGGTGTGCTGGTTGAAGGCGCTGTGAGGGCTCCCGTCTTCAGTGATGGATTGACCCCTCCTCCCTCACTGAGCAGCGGGGCGGAGGCGAAGGTAAAACCCAGGGACCAAGTGCACGCCACAGCCAGTTTGTGACCCCGCTCCTCTCTTTGAAGGCCTTCCATTTAAGATTTATAAACTGCATAAACTGCATTGAGATGCTTTCTTTTCTTTTTTTTTTAAGAATTATTTTATTTAACTTTATTTATTATTATAATTTTCCAGTTTGATCAGAGAGAGGCAGAGAAAGAGAGAAGGAAAGTGAGAAAGCGAGCCACCAGGTCCCAAAACACGGTCAACCGTGTGAGAGCCCAGCACCTTTAGCCACCACGCCACCTGCCAGCCCTGAGATGTTTTCAAATGCTAACCCAAGGGCCAGCCCATTGTCCAGTGGTTAGGGAGCCAGATCCCACATAGGCAGCTGCTGTTCAGATCTTGGCTCAGGTGGCTTGAAAAACGCATAGGGCACGTATGCACGCATGTCCCAAGTTCTCACGGGATGGAGAAATGGAGGACTGCATGGAGGAGCACACCCCACTGAGGGGTACTTTCTCCTTTTCTCCGTCTCTCTTTCTCTCTCCAGTGAGCACACACACTCAGGCAATTTACAAAATGTTAATGTAGAGCCAGCAGGTGGCCTGGCGGTTAAAGGGCTGGATCCCATATGACTGACTCCACTGTTTAAATCCCGGACCCAGTGGCTTGAAAAAAATGCTCCGTGCATGGACATGCATGTCCAAAACCCAGACAGGAGAATGGAGGAGAGGGGATTGCAGCATGGCCATACCCCCGGGGTATGGCCACTTTCCCTCTCTCTATGTCTCTCTCCAGTAAGCGCACGTGCCCTGTGGCAAAAAAAAAAAAATATATATATAGTGTGTGTGTGTGTGTATGTATATATATATATATATAACTCATATAGATATATGGGATCGTGGGGAAAGTCATGACACAATTTTGCATAGAAAAGTGCATCATGACTTTGGGGGCGACTCTATATATATATAGAATAAAGTCCTGGTCTGAATCCTCAGGGACCTTTTGCTGGTTTCTAGGTAGAGAGTGTCTGAGATAACAGCCTCACCTCTCTACCTTGCCTTTACTCTCTAAAACTACATGGCCACAGCTGATCACCTGGCCTGTCAAATGTGTTCCACCGGAGAAGGAAGAATTTACATATGTCAGCCATCACTCATGTTTAACCATTGATTTTGTGTAATTATTTGAAGCAACCTCATTTTCTTTCAATCTTAACTATTATGAACGTCTGCTCTAGGCACCTGCTCTCACCTGTAGGCAGCGTAACTAGCTTAAATTCCGAATAATCTACATTCAACCATACTTGCTCTTATTTCTCTCTTTTTTTTTCTTGGAGAGGTTTTTGCTATAGGGCGCGTGCACTCACCAGACAGACAGAGACAGACAGAGAGACAGAAAGCGAGAAATCACCCCCCGGGGGGATGGTCACGCCGCAATCCCTTCTCCTCCATTCTCCTCTGGGGATCTTAGGCACGCACGCACACGCGCCCGGCGTGAGTTTAAGCCACCGGGTCCGGGACTCCATCCGCAGTTGACTACGTGGGAGTCCAACGACATAGCCATTGCGCTAACTGCTGGTCCCATCGCTCTTATTTCTCATAGCGTAGGGTTTTCCTAGTCCTTAACCAGTGAAGTTTCTTTGAGTGGGCAGAATAGCTAAATGAAGACCTAGAATTACAGACACGTCAAACCATGTGCTCCTTTCACTTTCACCAGATGGGAATTCTCCATTTGAACAACCGATTTCACGCTAGTGTGGTCTCAGTATTGTAGATCAGATGTGGAAGTTAGAGGATTCTGAAATGGTGCTGTCTGAAGTACATGTTTTATAGAAACATTACAAATGTATTTCTCTCTAGCCAGGGGGTAGAATTGTCTGTTTTCATTTAAAAAAAAAAAAAAAAGTCAGAGTCAGCAGGTAGTAATGTGATAAAGGCACTAGACTCCCACATGGGTGACTGCAGTTCAAATCCCAGACCCAGCCACTTGAAACTCATGGGCGCATGTGTATGCATGCCCAGTATCCCAGGAGGAGAATGGAGGAGAAGAGGTTGTGGTGTAGCCATCCCCCCTGGTGGGTGATTTCTCACTTTCCCTCTCACTTCTGTCTCTCCAGTGAGTACATGCACCCTGTGGTTCTATTAAAAAAAATTTTAGATTTGCTAAAAGAAAAAAAATGTGATGCTATTTCTTATTTTAAGGAATGGATGTTTTTCTAAAATATTTCCATGAATCTTTTTTAAAGGAAAAAAGAAGCACTTCTCTCATGGTACAGTGAGATAATACACGTAGAAGTGATTTTTAACCTCTGAAGCACAACGCATTCGTATGTTGTCATCGTTAGGCTTGCCCTGAAATGGTGTCATAAAGCCCTCGCAGAGCCCTGCTTTCTGCCGTGACCCCCGGGGCCGATCTCCCAAGGGTAGCACCCCAGCTCCACGTGCCCAGCTCCTCCGTCCCTCGTGCAGAGCGCGTTCCGAGTAAAGCCGCAGAGCGCCATGATCAGCTGCGTTCTCTCTGGTCTCTAGTTCTGAACGACATCATCTCCACCATGTTCAACAGAAAGTTCATAGAGGAGCTGCTGAAACCCCAGGAGCTCTACTCGAAGAAGGCCCTGAGGACTGTGTACGACCGCCTGGCTCACGCCTCCATCATGAGGCTGAGCCAGGCCAGCATGGACAAGGTGAGCCGACAGCCGCCTCTGCCCTTTCGGTTGCTCTTCTTGTCCTGTGGAGGGTCCCGACGGGGTTGAATGAGAGGCCAGAAGCCGACACTGCCGGTAAGTGACGCTGAGCTGCAGTCGGGAGGCCTCGGAGCCGCTGCTCCACGCCCTGAGTTCTGCCATCCTCCTTCCTGGGAGAGTGCTGGTTTCCGCTGTATTCCTGAACCCCAGGAAAGTGCTGGTCTCCACTGTATTCCTGAACTCCACTGTATGCCTGAATCTACACCAGCACTCCACCCTCAAGTCTAATTCTGCCTCTTAGCAAATCTCAATGATGAAACGAGGCATTTCTTAGAGCTTTTTAAAACTCTCAGAACTTGGGGCCACCAGATGGCCTAGCAGTTACATCACTGGACTCCCACATGGCTGACTGGTTCAAGTCCTGGACTGGGTGGCGTGAAACTCATGCTGAGCACGTGTTTGAATATGTGCGTGCCCAAGGTCCCGGGAGGAGAATGGAGAAGGGATTGCAGTGTGGCCATCCTCCTTTGGAGGTGATTTCTCACTTCCCTCTCACTGTCTCTCTATTGTCTCTGTCTGTACCCCCTCCACTGCCTACCCCATGAGCACACGCATCCTAAGACAAAAACCTGTAAAAAAAAAATAATAATAATAAAAAACAACTTTCAGAAACGGCCAGCAGGTGGTCTGGTGGTGAGGGTGCCAGACCTTCCCCACCCCGACCCTCTCTGGTCAAATTAAAATAAATTAATTAATAAATAAAGATAAACAATTTTTTTTTAAATCTTTAAAATTGTTCTTACACAATTGTAGAACTTGACACTTGCCGTTTCACAAACACCACCTCATTCTTCTCAGCAGCTCTGCAGCTTAGGGAAATAGGGACTTTTTTACAGGTGAGAGAGCTCAGGCTCAGAGAGGTTAAGAAACCTGGCCAGGGTCGGGTGTGGTGGCGCCCACCTATGGCAGAAACCCCTGGAGACTGGAAGACCACAGCACCACGTCTCTCTCTGTCTCTGTCTCTCTCAATGTGCACATTGGCCGACCATGGTTTGAGTCCTGGACCTAGGAGCGTGCTTTTTCACTTTCCCTCTCTTTCTCTCTCTGGTCAAATTAAAAAGTAATAAAAATAGGCAGGACCGGCAGGTGGCGTGGTGGTTAAGGATGATGCAGAGCGCGTTCCGAGTAAAGCCGCGGAGCGCCATGCTCAGCTGCATTCTCTCTGGTCTCTAGTTCTGAACGACATCAAGCGTAATGGCTATGTCGCTGGACTCCCACGTAGTCGACCGCGGTTCGTGTCCCGGACCCGGTGGCTTAAAACTCACGCCGGGCGCGTGTGCGTGCGTGCCCAAGATCCCGAGAGGAGAATGGAGGAGAAGGGATTGCGGCGTGACCATCCCCCCTGGGGGGTGATTTCTCGCTTTCTGTCTCTATGTCTCTCTCTGTCTGTCTGGCGAGCGCACGCGCCCTACAGTGAAAATCTCTCCAAAAAAAA